ATTCAAATTTATGGTATTTTAAAATAGGAGTGACATAATTGAAGAAACACCTTAGGAGTTAATATGTAGATTTTAAAGTAAAGAAATTATAATAAAAAGATCATTTGGTGTACCATCTCAATAGTCCTTCCAAATTAAAACAAGGACTTAACAGTTTTAAATTAATGAACTATAGAAAATTAGTAAAAAAGAATGGATAGAACTTGGGCTAAGGATAGAGAAGGAGGAAAGGTGAGAAATGAATGTCACTATACTTTGAGGTCTGGAAAACAGAGATAATATAGTATCCAAAATAGAAATGGAAAAAACTAAAGAGATAATTTTGCTAGAAATGTGAGAAGGGATTTAACATGAATCTTTATCAGTTGGGTCTGATTTTTAATATGTACAATATATGCCTTAAAAGGTTATGTATTTAAGAATTAATGGAGATACATATATCTCCTGCAAGAATATGGATGTTTTAGTTTCTGAGTTCCACAAAGTAGTAAAATCAACACTGAAAAGACTTAATGAGATTAACACAAGTATTAAGCTTAAGAGCCTTTTTACCTATGAAATTCAGTGGCATTCATAGAAAAGCCCCAAAGTGTCACACTTATCTGAATTTTAATTTATGAAAGACACACTCAAGTGAGTAAATGAAGCCAGATTTCTTGAACAGTAAAGATTTTGACCCAAATGCCAGATTTACCTTTTCTGAGTCCCTTTCTCCATTAGCTAAAAAAGGGAGAATCTCTACTTCTGAGGGTTAAGTACAGAACATATGAAGTAACATATGGAGCTGTAGATGCCCAATAAATGATGGTTACTATTTCAGGTCATTCTGATAAAACTGAAAGACAAAGAAATATACTCATATCCTAACTACTTTAAAAATGTTGTAAGAGTCTTTGTACTCCTACTTATATCACACCTTAACTCCTCACGATTGGGGTCAAAAATATTGTAACCTTGAGGCACCTAGCTGGCTCAGTTGGTAGAGCAAGTGACTCTTGATCTCAGGTTGTGAGTTGGAGCCCCATGTTGGATGTAGAGATTACTTAAAAATAAAGTCTTAAAAATATATATATATTGTAATCTTTAAAAAAAAAAAGATTGTATTTATTTATTTGAGAGAGAGGAAGAGAAGATGAGCAGGGGAGAGGGGACAGAGGGGAGGGAAAAGCAGGTTCTCCACTAAGCAGGGAGCCCAATGCAGGGCTCAATTCCAGGACCATGAGATCATGACCTGAGCCTAAGGCAGACACTTAACCAACTGAGTTACCCAGGGCACCCCTATATATTGTAATCTTAAGAAGAATTTGTCTTGGTTAGGAGGTAAGTGTTGAAAAGTTTTAAATAATTCTTGGCTATTCTAGGTGTGTATTCTTAAAATCAAATTGAATTTTCAGACATATGTGTATCTATAATTAATTAAAAACCCTTCACTTTGAAAAAGTGCCAATATTTCATTTGCACATTCCATTAGCATGAGATTAAGACTTTCCAATTTGTTGGTTTATCCAAAGTGATTACATATAACCAGATAAAATTTTATGACTTGACTTTAATGGGCTAATTCATTCTATAAACTTCTTCAAGAGATTCTATTGTTAATGTGCTTAAATCAGCAAATATATTAAAATATTCAAGTTTTTATTCCAAATCCAATTGAGACAGTTTTGCTCAAGATATTGTTAAACACATTTTTCAAAAAGTTTCTTTTTAACACAAAGCAGTAAGAAGCTGTATCATCTTAAGATAGTTATAAGTATAAGTTTATTTGGAGCTAAAATTTCAGAGACCTACTAATTTTCAAAGGTTGGCTTTCTCACTTAATAGCAGAGCAATACTTTGGATAGATGAAATTTACTGCTTGTCTTCTAAGCCAAAATAAATGGCAAATTCGTCCAATAGAGTAAAATAGAGAGCAACACATGTAATTTTCATTCAAACCCCATTGGTCATCAAAAAAGATGCTGATTTAATCAATAAAGTATTTTGAAATCTTGGTAAATAAAAACAAGAATTGATTAAGTTTTTCAGAGATATGTGAAGAGATAGTCATAAGCACTTGCTGTTGATATACACTGAGTTATTTATATGAAAGAATAGCAATCACAAAATTATGTTACTCTTCTCCCCAGCCTGCTTATTTTGTTCCCATTCTGTGAAGTTTGGTTATCCTAATAACTTAAATGTTAACAAAAGAAGAGAAGCAAGTCATTTTTTATATAATATTCAAATATTTATAGTTTATTGTAAAATACATTTATGAATCAACTTGGCTATTTCTATTTTTAAATCAATGTTGATTATGTTTTTTAATCAGATATTTTCAATCTATGTGATATTAATGGACTATGTGCATTCATACCTTGGTATAATTATTCTTGTTAGAATACTATGCTAAATTGCCTTTTAAACAATTCAGTAATTACATGTTACAAGACAATTGTTTTGGTTAAATTGTGTTATAACACTTTAATAAAATAAAGTATAAATATATAACTTATCACTTATTTTTTGTTATTTCACATTTTTAAGGAGGCATATTAACTTTAACATAAACATTAGCACAAGTTTTTATAAATTCTCGTGGTACTGCTAAAAATTTTATCTGTACCAGATTTTTATTCCATTGACCAAGTTGTAGATAAATGTTCTTCTTCAAATTTGTCATTAAGACTCTGCATTGGGATGACAAATGATTTATATTCTGATTTATTTTTCATTGTCAATCACCAGGATATTTAGAGAGATACCTGTAAACATGTCTGTAAATACTCCACTTTCTAGAGATGCTACCAATAATAATACTGTAATTTTTTTTTTGAGAGTGCCACCTCTCTCACACCCACTAGATACTAATATAGTAATTGACCCATCCTGGTAAGTAATTCTGAAAATCTTCTAGCCTAGAAAGGGTTTAGCTCAATTCCCAGTAAAGCTAATTTTAGGTCAGACATTGTATGCCATGTAATAATCCCATATACTTTAAATAAAGTTGAACATGATTATAAATTTATACACATTTTAGGAATAAGTTAATATATATATAATCACAATCTTGCAATCTTCTGTAAATGAGTTCAAGTAAACCTGAAAAACCTCACCATTAACTTACTAAAGTCTGTTCTATCAAACACAAGTTTTTGAAACACCTGAGGCATGGTGCTGAATTATATAATCCTATCATTAGGTTCTAATATTATGTTCTCTATTTTATTGAACTTTCAGAAATTACCAAGAACCTTTATAAATGTTTACAATTATGATTTTTACAGATTTGACTTCAACAAAAGATAATGGTTTAAAGCTAAATCTTCCTTTTTATGAGCTTTGGTTCTGTTTCATTTCAAAAATAGAAAATAATATTTACCCCCTTCCTATCTGTTGTATGAAAACTACAAGCAAAAAGGTATTTGTTTGACTCTTAGGAAAGTCACAAACAGCAGTTGTCTATAGAATGAGGCTAGAAGTAGAATCCATATGTAATGCTTCTGTCAGCAAAGACTTAGTAGAAGAGGGTTTATAATAAATATTCACATTTGCTTCTTTGGACACTCTAATCCATCCTAAGGATCTTTGCTGTGTCAGGTTTTGTTCTAGATGAAAAAGCCCAGTAGTTATAAAGGTTTGCAAATAGGCCATATTTATCATGGTTAGCTTTACTTTTATAACTTTTCTGTTTTCAAAATACTCATGATATTTTGGGGTATAATTTGTGATTAAATATTTCACTGTGACTTTGATGACATCATTAAAGAATTTTTACTGTGAAACAAATTTTATTTTCACAATATATCACCTACTTAAAATCTGTCAAGAAGGCATCTTTGATAACAATACCATGCTGGGTGTGGAAAACACAAGACTAAAAGCCCAGGCTCTGGATTCAAAGTGACTGTGATTTAATGATACCTCCCTCGATACCTCCATATCATGCATACCTCCTCTTGAGCAAGCTACTTCACCTTTCTAAACCTCTCTTTGTTCATCCATATAATGAAATTAATATTATTTTATCATTAGATCTTGCAAGGATTATATGAAATTATTCACATCAGGTACAAAATCTAGTATCTAGCACGTTGGCAGTTTAACCACTTTTAAATATTATTACTGGAATGATAATATACCTTCTAAGTATGATTAGATAATCCCATGGATAGTCCTATTCTCATACTTTTTTGCCCCACATACTGACTTTATGTAAACATATTTCATTATTTTTGCTTATCTCTAAATTCCCTGATAGTTTGCTACCAGACTTCCTTAATAAAAGCATTAGAATTGGATTGCTGATATATTTTTCACTTGAAGGAAATTATTCACTAAAAATTTTACAGTATAAAAATTGAGAATACTCTGTACTATATTTAGCTCTTATGTAATATAAACTTAGTTTAACAGAATTTTGAATTTTAAATTAGAGTAAAAAAACCTAAGTCATCCTTGAACTGGAGGTATTTATTTTCACTTCAACTCCAAAAAAAAGTTCATAAGTGTCATAATTTTAAAGCATAAATGTATATTATTATAACTAAAGATTTAGCATAATTATAACAAGTCAAAGTATAATGCAAAATTTAACATGTAAGTTGCCCATTATATAGGGACATAGATTTTAAACCTATGCTTTGGACATTTTTTCACAAATAATTCACTTGAAAAAGAAACTTCTATTACTTAGCTGCTTTCCCCCTCATCTTCTCAAAATTAGTTATTAATCCCAAATATAAGGAGACTAGGAGGGCATTTGATAAAATAGGTGGGGCATTAGGCTTTACTTCCTTATTTTAAATTTTTATAATCATTGACATGTCTTAATTTTGACTGGAATTACTTCCTATACAAATGAGAGCTCATATTTAACGACTGACATCTAATATAAGATGAGTCTATTGAATTACAATTGAAACAAAACTGTGTATTCCATTGCTTAGAAACTGGGACTGCTTGAAATTAAACTTTGATATTCTCTCTCTCTCTCTCTCTCTCTCTCTCTCTCTCAGGTCGAGTTTTAGCTCAGGCGAGTGGCAGTGGGGTTATCCATTTGCTAGATCTTAAATCAGGGCAGATTCACAAACTGATGGGCCACGAGAGTGAGGCTCACACAGTCGTGTTTTCTCATGACGGAGAGTATTTGTTTTCCGGAGGCTCTGACGGCACTGTTCGAACGTGGTCTTGATGGTCAGCATATCTCACTGCCGACGGCATTCCCTTTAAGGCTTGAAAATACCTTATGTAGTCAGTCCCAAACCAGGAAATATCTGGTTAAATATGCCAGCAGGTAACATTTACAGTTTGCTTTAAAACATGCTGTGGACATGTATTTTAGTGCTCGTACTGTTACCAATAAAAAAATAACTTTTTGCTCATTTATTTGTGTCTGGGTCTTTATTTCTTTTTCATTTTGATAAGAATTTAGAGACAGAGCATCTTTGCTAGGGGCTTGAAAGAAACAGCTTTACAATGACGCCTAATGACAGACTAGATGAATTACAGGAGACTGATTTTGAATGTTAGAGAACAAACTGCAGGAGAACAGGGCTACTTTTTTTTTTTTTTTAAATCAAATCCAAGCTGCAGGAAGACCTGAAGTTTAATCATGTAGCATGGAGAAAGTCTTTCTGCAACCAAAGGGTCAAATAGAATCGGAGAGCATACATTTTCACAGATTCTTTGACAATGATTATGCTTTATCTATTAATAATAATCAAGACTGCAGATGGCTTAAATCTAAATGCAATGCTCTTCCAGAACTTTCATCTCTGCAGCCCACCTAAGAATGCTTTAGGTATAATTACAATGTCTTGTATTTTTTATTGTAATTTCAATGTCAATAAGTATCTCGTGTGTAAAATGTCTTTCCCACTCTTAATGCATGCATCGGCTGTATAAAGTGCAACTGCCTTAGAGAACACTCTAGCCTCGTCTAAAGAAGCAGCTCTGGATTTCGACCGAGCTGGTCTCAGAAGCCAGTTGTTGGCGCTGTCCGTGGTGCTGAGGAATTCCCGGCTGCCTGCGAATGAGCTCCAAATCAGCAGTCTGCAAACTGCTCTCAGTGATGCAGAAACCCAGCTAAAGTTGCTCCTTTCCTTCACGTCCACAGTTAGTATTTTCTGGTGTGTAAGAGGGGATTCAAGCAACATATTGTGGATGATGCTGATGGTACTGCCAGCGGAGTGGGCTTTAAGCTACAGCATGCTATTGCTGTTTGTGATCCTCAGAGCCTAGCCAAATCACCTCTACTGCCGTACCAAACACTGTGTAAGTGAACTCATGTGTGGAGGAGGCGTAATCAGCCGGTAAATTTCATAGAAGGATCTGAGAAAAATGCTAAAAATAAGTTCAACATGATTCTGCTACTGGGGTCTGGATTTCTACAGGACCAGCATCGCTTCTTGCTTTGAATTCTGAAGACAGGTCCAAAGCATATTTCTTATGTGTGTCTGCTGTGTTTCTCTCTGGAAGGGCGGGAGACTGCTTCTTGACTGTGTTTTGAAATGGGAGGTAGAGAGAATGGATTACCTTTAATTCATGCCTGAAAATGTGTTCTTTGGATAATTAAAGAGGAACTGCTTTCCTAAAACATACCTGATCTTTTAGTTTATATTGGTCTATGACTCCCACCACCACCATTAACCTCCAGAGTGATTAGGTAAGTGTATCTTATGACATGAGTTATGTTTGTTTTCTCAAAGAAACAGATGCAGTCATTTTAAATCATATGTAGCATATGGGGAGGGGGGAAAGTTTAGCTGGAAAGTGATCCTCAGTTTAGCAATGTTTGCTTACTTATTAAAAATCTTCAGATAAACATTTTATTTCATTTCTCTAATATTTCTTCTCTTATAGAGTGTTTTTAACTACACTAGAGCAGCTCAATTATGAAAAGGGATTTTTTAATAGCCTAAGAACTTTGTTATATTAAAAAGAAAACCTTGTTTTCTCCATGCATATTTAAAAATGTATTTCATATAATAAAAGCATATTTAAGGTTTATATAAAGTGCATATTACACCCTTATTTTTACCTTTAAGTTTACATTTACCACAACTTGGTATATTAATGCCTACCTGTAGCTTGCAAAGAGATCAATTTCTGTCTATGTCCTTTTGAAGCAGAATGATATGTGTATTTTATATGGCTTATCTCGCATGTATTGGCAGACACTACTGGCATATTATAAGGAAGCACAATAGCTTCCTTGCTTCCGAGATAAACTTTCTAAATATGTGAGAGATGTATAAATGCATGGCTTAATCAGTAAAAATATATTTATGCTTTTGTCGGAAGCTTCTGTTATGTTTGTGGCCTCTGTAGTAATTTAAGAGAAAAAAATGCTTTGTCAAGGAGCTTCCAGCTTCTCAAGTAGAATTATAGGTTTGCATTTGTTTTTGTTCTGTCATGACTCATTATTTTTGACATATTTTAAAATAAATCTATCCCTTTTATCATTACCTACCCAAAAGGAATTCTAATATCATAGAGCAGTTTTCTCTAAAGGAGGGCATAAATATACTACCTTCCATTTTACTATTACTTTGCATAAGATAATTTGCATATCTTACTTAAAATGCAAAAATAATAGTTGAAGTGTCCTTATGCCATCTTTATCTTGTTTTTGAATTATCATCTGTATGTTATACTGAAGAGATGATTTATCATCACTCATTATATTCTGAAAATATACCAACAAACAACATTTTTAAATTATCTGAAAATGTCCTATATACAGTCTTAATAATATTGGCATAAAGCCAATAGCATTTAAATAGACAGATGAACTATCTGACACTTTTTCTTATCTATTACTCTCTAAAGTCACAGTTTCCCCAGAGCCTTTGTATGAGTTAGTCACTCTAAACATTTAAATAAGAGCCCACTACCAATATTCCACACCAAGCACTAACACTAAATGAAGCTTATAAGAGTCAATGTCACCAAATTAATCAGGCATGTTTTCTGTGAATGGCAACACCACATTATTATTTTAAGGAATTTCAATAAACAGTTTTATGTTGACATTTTTGTGCAAATTGACTAAATGCAAATATGTTTGGGATGTCAAAAGAAAGGTATATTCTCAAGACATTGTGAATTGTACAGATTTTATATTGAAGTAATTAATTCAAATAGTATTCCATGAATACTAGACTCAAGTTGCCATTAAAAAAAAAAATCACAGGTACATCTTTCCTGCCCACTAGGAGCTTACTTCCTGAGTAAAATAAAGTTGTGGGCAATGATACAAATAAATTTATTTTTAATAAATCATTTTCAATATATGGAGTTCTCATACTATTTATTAAATTTTTCTCTTATTCACTGTGAAATGGTTGCACTATTTTTCTTCCTAGTTATGTTTCAAAATCCAGATTTATGTTTTCTGAAACAAGTAACCCATTTGACATCATTGTTGTTCTCCAGTTATGGGAGTGAAGAAGTAGGAAGGCCTTTATACTAGCTCATCTCAATTATAATTTATATTCAACTATTGGTCTCTTCCCTTTCTTTTAGAAGTAGATGTTTTCTCACTAATCTCCTAGTTTTTATACAGATAATTATAGCATATACATTCTATCACTGACTAATTTTGTGATAAAGAACAACAGAGAATGTGAATTCAAACATTCTTGAGCCATTTGTAACTATTTGTAAATCACCTTTTAAGGCTCAGTAAAACCACTTCTTACAATTTAAACAAAGCCAGACCTTTGAAATTCAGAAGGTAAATTGGAGCTTAAGATTCCTAAGTGAAATAAAGGACACATTTCAATGCATATATTGCCAAGAATAAACTCTCCAAACTTCATAATGAAATGTAGATAGTTGCATGAACTTAGTTTATTTAAGGTCTTAGTGTCTTCCAGATAGATCCCAGATAAACAGGTTAAGAACATGGGCTTACATAAATCCATATTATCTTTATATATGTCAAATTGTTCTTTTTAAATATTTATTTTCAGCCTACCCCTCTTGTATTCCCATGGAAGGAGCTGATTATATTTAATATTAGGAGCACATCCAGAAGCCTTTGAGGAGGGGGATGGCTCTTCATATTCATGAAGCTTGCATACTTCTGTTGGTCATCCTTGGATTGGTCACCTCTGCTGCCATCAGTCATGAAGACTATCCTGCTGATGAAGGTGACCAGGCCTCCAGTAATGACAATCTGATCTTTGATGACTATCGAGGGAAAGGGTGTGTGGATGACAGCGGCTTTGTGTACAAGTTGGGAGAACGATTTTTCCCAGGGCATTCCAACTGTCCATGTGTCTGTGCTCTGGATGGACCTGTTTGTGATCAGCCAGAATGCCCTAAAATTCACCCAAAGTGTACTAAAGTGGAACACAATGGATGCTGTCCTGAGTGCAAAGAAGTGAAAAACTTTTGTGAATATCATGGGAAAAATTACAAAATCTTGGAGGAATTTAAGGTATGAGTTACCCTCCATATTTATTGAATACTAACTTTTCACACCACACACTTAGTAGATTACTACATTAAAATTAAAGTTGGAAAAACATATTTTTTAATTTCCCTTTACATTATGATTCCAATTAGCCTAAGTACCACTGTGGTCAACAAATAACCAATTGACTTGTTGATCAATATCTTTAAGGTTTCACAATAATCTCTTCCTTCAGAAGTATTTTGGGCATGCTTAACACCTTTTTTTGCCCCTAATTATTTCTTCTGTATTATTACAAAATATGTTTTCTGAGGGAAACAATTCTTTGTAGGCTATGTGTTTATTTAAATTTAATGTTTAAATATTGTGAGGGTTTTTTTTATGTGTGTGTGGCTTATTAGACTGTATTTGGAGTCATTTAACTATAGTCTAGCATTATATTTAGTGTGTGGAAATGCAAGTACCACTGGGACACACCTCTTATCTGTGGTCTATATATTAAGAATATGCATTGGGCCTACTTGTTGTAGAGCACCAACCCCATTCTGTTCTCTGTTCATTAGATTTTTTTGCTTGCAGGACCCCAAAGAGAACTAAATTTTTGTCATAGTCCATTGTCAAAGGTAGTAAAAAAAAAAAAAGACTATTTTTCCAGTGTCCATAGTATTTCATAGTTGTTCTTTTATGCTTGTGTTATATTTTTAAGTAATTTGGAGTTCATTTTTGTCTCTTTTCTCAAATGGCTAGTTTTAATTAGGATGTCCTACAAGCCAGATCTGAACCCTGAAAGTATAAATTATTATATCAAAATGTTCTCCCTAAATGTAATGGCAGTTTGTGCCTTGGAGTGTCTGTCATACTGATGGCTTGATATGAAAGATTTTCATTTCATCTAACCAAGTTCTGTGAAAGGTGCTCAGAACCTTATAAGCAAAAGAAGATACAGACAGTTTTCAG